AATTTAGCGAATTCTGGATTGAGATGCTGTTGTGCTCAAACTGCATAAAGCACGGCATCCAATCCAGGGTCGGTCTCACACTGGCTGAGCTGCTACAAACACCGATCGCGTTCCGACATGATGATACCTTTTGCCGTTATGCGGCTTGCCCGAAACTGTCATCCTTGCAGCGGTCCCGAAGAAGCCTGTTTCTCGGCGAGTTTCACGACACTGAAAATGTCGTGCAGGTGGGCACACAGATTTGCCCATGCACCATCCTTGGGTCCGTGGTAGCAGCCTGTTGCGGCATCGTAGAGAGTGAGCTGAGGCTGCAAAGGCCCGATCACTGCCTCGTGCCCTGCCACAAATCGGGCCTGGCTGGCCTCTGCGACTGCCTTGAGGAACTCACGCCCACCCCTGTCCCGGGCCACATTGCAACATCGAAACCAAATCACACCACGGCCCTCTTCGAAAACGTCCCTGAAGCAGCGGAAGCTGCCAGCACTTAGGGCAGTATCACCAATAACCGGCCGCGCAACTCCTCCATGGGACCAGATTTGCATTTCACGGAGCCCTTGGCCCCGCTCTTCAAGCAGCTTGGCAACTGGCGTTAGGTCTTCATGCCTCATCGTTCTGCCACTAGAAGGGTCGCTGAACTCCAGTAGTTGCGGACTGATCTCTCGCACCAGCAATGTGTCGCCGAAACGCAGCTTCGCACCTATCAACCAGCCAACCTGTGCAATGCCACCGGACTTCTTGCCCTTAGCATCACGCGTGTCGTCTGCAAGGACGAGGCAATCGATCACCTTGGAGTTCTGGCTCCCCATGGCCGCGGACAGGCACTAAGCAGAAGGTTCAGGGTTTGCAGAGCCTGCAGCTTCTTAGGACGCGCTGCACATTAACTCTTTGAAAACCATCCGACGCCCTCGCAACACCCTCAAGCCCTTCAGGATCTACCTCTCAACACCCTAGCCCTAATTAGGCCTGATTCTGTATACCCCATAAAACAGCTTCTTGCACCCCAGATGCGCTGGCGAACGGCTCTTAGTTGGGAGTTCGTTCCCTTCCCGTCGGACGGAGCACCTTCCATTTTTGGGATCAGAAGTTTGTGTCACGACTGTTGTAGTGTAGGAGTTTAGCATGCAGGTTCGGAACATGTGGGCTTAGGACTTGTAGGATGTAAGATGAGGCCCGCAGCTTCGGGACCGTCGGGCTGTTATGTCAAGACGGAGTCAAGGAGCTTCGGGGATTTTAAGTTTGAGGGATTGATGGGCTCGCTGGTTGATCTGTTGCGCCATCTTTTGGATGGCTGGAACTCTTCCTGGATGCCGCTGTGGTCAACGGCATGTGGGCTTTATCAGATTCAGAGGTCGATAGTCGAAATTTCGCATTACTCTTTACTGTGAGACCACGACGCCTTTGAAAGCGGCCACGGACTGCTCCCTTAAGTAAAGAGCCTCCCTGAAACCTGAGCGGGATCCTTCACAGGCTTGGCGGTACAGCGATTAAATCACTGTTCACTGGCTTTGGGCCTTTCTGGAGCCTTTGTAAGCACATCTGCAGACCACTTGCCCAGCAAGGCCTGGATATCGAAGAGAACCCCCCCCTATATCCCCAACGTCTCAACGACTGAATGCTCTCCAAGACCCTGCTAAGCCAAATCTTTCAGACTGTCTACATACCCTCTGAAGCTTCAAACTTCTTAACCCGTAAGCCCTAAGCCCTGAATAGCCCATGAAGTTTAACATCCAATGAGGCGCTCTCGTCGCTCTTCGAGCCATTCCCACTCCCGCGCGATTCGGAAGAGTCGCCCGCATCATCCTGCAATAGGAGTCTTGTGGTGCTCTGTGTCTGATACAGGGCCATATATGTAGGTATCGGGTCGGTGAGAGCACGGGCAATCCAGTGTAGGTCAAGGTCAGCATGCGCTACTCTCCGGTGAGAATCGAAAATCACCACAACCCGCACTCAAGCAGGAGAAATAGGACCCAGAAGCAACCCCCTCACCAACCATCTAATGCCAGTACATCTCACATCCATTTCAAACGCGATTGCACATCCTGAGCAGCAAAAAGATTACCCTGATGCTGCCATATGCAGGCATGCACGTGTGTGATACATATATATATATATATATATATATATATATATATATACACATGTGTGTATATATATATATATATATGTATATAGAAAATACTATTACATATCTGTATATAACCACATATTTCTATATGTTTATCTACATATATATATATATAGCACACATATACACATATACATTCATACATACACGATCGCACACGCACGCACGCACACATGAACACTCGCAAGCATACATACATACATGTATACATGCATACAATGCGTACAGACAAGCAGAAAGACGGGCATGCAAGACATACACACGGACAGACATAAAGACATACTGGCATGCAAGCTTGCAGACAGGCAGGCAGGCAGACAGAGAGACAGACAGGCAGCCAGATGCACATAGAGAAACACATACCTGCATGTGCATACGTACATATGTATATATGCACATATGTACGTACACATCCTTCCAGCCAGCCAGCCAAGCATGCATGCAATACACATATGCATCGGTCTACGTATATGTACATATATGTATATGTGTGTGTGTTTATATTTATTCATATGTGCGCACATACCTTTACTGGTATTTGCATCCAGCTGCATTTATACAAACACTCAGATAAGACAAGGGACTACAGTATGTCATAGAATGTTGTAACAAGGTACCATGAAGTATACCATATACGATGCAGTACTACACTATACTATGCTATATTCTGCTAGGCTATGTTATACTGCGCCATACTGGGCTATGCTCTACTATACTAACTGTAGCATGCTATGCTATACTTCACGATGATAACACCTGTCATATAGAGACCGATTACCTCATGCATGATGTATAGTGTGGTAAGGTAGGGCATACTATGACATTCAACACCATCCACCATGTTGTATGATAAAATAAAAATTACGTGTGTGTGTATATATATATACATACACAGAGAGAGAGAGAGAGAGAGAGAGAGAGAGAGAGAGAGAGAGAGAGAGAGAGAGAGAGAGAGAGAGAGAGAGAGAGAGAGAGAGAGAGCAAAGGCGGGCGAGCGAGCGAGCGAGCTGAGCATAGTACCTATATTATGCCTGTGTACATATAAATATATATATATATATATATATGTATCTGTATATCCACAGATACAACCTTAGATAGATAGATTGCATGATTGATTGATCAATAACGGAAGACTGATAGATAGATAGACGGATGGGTAGATACATAGGTAGACAGGCAGACATATATGTGCATATAGAAACAACCCTCATGCAGTCACAACTTTCCGCGACTCAGAGCTCGATGTTTCGACCCGCGAACAGAGTAACGAAGCTCAGTTACGTACTTCCCGTCCTGTATAGCTGTAAAATCTGAAACACGCTAAAGCGGAACAGCCAGCAAGTAAATTTCTTCGAAGATGTGTAACAGAGGGGGAATCACACATCAACCGCCCCCTTTGAATGCTATTCCGCCCGAGCAATTCGGGACTGACAGAGTGCAACCCTGCGCAGAGTCGATCCGGGTTGAGGATTTTGGTAGCACTGCGCACAAATGTTAGTACATTTCATATAATATACCCAGACATGTAAAATTGCTTTCAGTACTTCTACCAACTTGGGACAGTTGCATTCTCAGTCTTTGCAGCAAAACCGGCGAAAAATAAAAAACTGCGCCTCAGGTAGACAAATCCCAACAGAACATTCGACCCACACATCCAACACCTGCATCCTCAACTCCAAGACAGCCCTGGCACCCCCAGGGCCAAACGTGGCACGCCTGAACCCAGCCATCCGGCACGTAGTTAGAGATCGCATCGAGAACCTCTGGCATCGGCATTTCGGCCTTCCTACTTGAACCACGAGCCTGACACTAAACCCAAAACGCTAAACACACAGACCTACCTTGAAGCGGTAATTAAGAAGGTAAGAAGGCTTGCAACCTGTGCAAAGCTATGAGATCTGTACAAGATGCATCTGTATAGCGACCCGGGTGCGGGATCCACAGAGTCTGGGCTGTGTGAAACACATGCGGAACACATGCCTCTTCTTTCCATCTCTCTCGCTCTCTCTCTCTGCCTCCTCCTCTACAAACATAGATACACAGGATACACCGGCGCAGTATGCATGATATACGAGGATCCATCGGGAACATGTCTGCTGCAGGATAGAAGCCTGACCTCCGGTACCTGGCTCGGAGTCCTTCCAACAGCTGCGAAAGCTTAGGGTATAATATTAGTACCCTTAATAATAGGATCCTTATTATATGGACCCCAAAACAAGGTACCCCTAATTTTCGGAAACTCCCATTTACTTCTCAGGGTTTAGGGTGATCATCACAAAACGAGCACTCGGAATCCTGCAAGGTCTTGGTTTTCGGGCTTCAGGGTTTAGAATTTAGGGGTGAGCCTGCCCCGCATCCTGCTACGTCATAGCATGGAACTACCCAGAGAACCCAATAATACCCCTTAATTAAGGAATATACCTTGCATTAAAGGGGCCTTAATATTAGTATGATTTAAGGTATATTCCTTAATTAAGGGGTATTGGGATCTGGGTAGCCATTCCCAGCCCTCTGCACTAGCAGAACCACTGAGCTTTTGGAAAACCTGCCTCCTGACAAGAACCCGCGAAATCCGGAATCCTTGAAGAAGCACGACGCAGAGCGTGTTTCTGAAAGCCGGGCAGCAGACTACACCCCCGGTCGAACATAACACCCCTCCCTAAACCCTAAACTGCCCTAAACCTCTTAACCCCAAACCCTAAACCTCTAAACCCCGAAACCGTTACAGTTGCCCACAGACGTCAAAACTCGACAAGCCCGTGCAGACTCGGGCTCGTTATCTTTCGGTATGAAAGCTCCCAACCTGAAGGCCTAAATCCCTAACATCCCTCAGGCCATAACACGACCTAAAACCGAAACCCTTCATAAAGCACCGAGGAGCCACCTAAACCCTTAACCCAAAAACCCTAAACCCTAAAATCCCAGACCCGAAACCCTAAAAGCCTAACCCTAAAATCCTAAATAGCTGACAGTGCGATTGCTGTGCCGAGGCGCATTGGCGGCCAGGGATTGAGGCCAAGCCTCCCCTGGCACCGGGCGACAGTACGTAACCTTATCGTATAAGCTTAGGGCAACCTTATAGTAACCATACAGAAAATAGAAACCTTATGGTAACCTTATATAGTAACCCTGTAGAAACCTGATAGTAACCTTATACTATAAGCTTGTAGTAACCTCAGAGTAGCCGCATGGTGACATATGGTGACCTTAGAGTAACATTCGTAACCTTCTCGTAAAGTCACAGTTACGTTCTTCTAACGTTATAGTCGGCGCCGTTTCAGCGGCAGCTGCGGCATCAGCAGCTGCTGCAATTGGTGATGGTGTGCCATAGAGAAACACATCATGAAGAGGCACTGTTTAACAGTCGCAAAATGCATAGAGATCCGGACCAAGAAGAAGCGAGCATCGCCATTGGGTTGAGACATCAACTGATGCTCTGAACCTTCAGCAGACTCGCTACGATTAGGACTCAAGCTTCGCCGAAGCTCTACATCAAGCACCTGACGACTCGAGCTTCAGCGCTTCGCTGACGGCTCTAGATACGCGAGCTTCAGAGCTTCAAAACGAACTTCCGGAACCACCCCGGCGTTCAATCGAAGAGTCGGGGTCGTGTCGACAACAACAGCCACAGCATCATCTACAGCAGCAGCATCGCCGACATCGCCATCATCACCATGATCATCATATCAACATCGATTTTACTTACAACAGCATACTCATCGGGGCATCATCATCTTCACCCAACGCGTTCGTCTTCTCCACCGTCTCTGTCGTCATCATCGACACCGGCGTCATCCTCCTCCGCCTCGTCCTCCTGCTCCTCGTCATCCTCATCGTTGTCATCATCTTCGGCATTTGCAACATGATCATCAAGCTCATCATTACCGCCATGGTCAGCACAGCACCAATTATGCTCGATAGCACATCTTGCGTGTCAAAAGAGAGAGTCTTTTGTTCAACATCCTGGAGCTGAAAAGGTAATGTAGGGGCCTTACTAATTACTTAGAATAGGATCGGGGGGTATAATAATACTATAGTTTATCACAAGGAAGCCTCCCCCCAAACCCTATTAACACAACTTCAGGCCCCTACAATATAGCACTTTACGGACGGAAGGCCCTGCTTCAAACGGTCCTCAGCAAACTCGAACATCTCACTCATCGAATGCAGGCGTAATGGAAACAGGTCTCGAGGCAGTGTGTACTATGGGAGTCTTTCTTCGTGCATGTAGAATAGATTTCTGGTGTATGCTCGACTGTATAGTGATAATGGGGAACAAGCAGGAACGGTATTTGTGGCTCTTCTTACCACATACGCTGCACTAACCTAGACACTAGCAAGACAAACACGAAACAACACTTGGTGGCCCCTATGGTTTCCCTGGTGCCTCAGCCGCCTACGGATAACATCATGCTGATGTTCACTAATTGCTAGATTCTAGATTATCACAATCCTAAAACTACAACACAACCTGTGGGTTTCGGCCACCTCCACTCCAGGAGGCGTCCCCGGACACATAGCCGACTGCCTGCTACCGGTCTGAGGATTGGAGCTATCAAGCTTTTAGGCGTTAACTCCTGAAGGTTTCGGGATATTTGAACAATCTGGGCCTAGGCTTTGTGGGGCTTTAGACTGAATCGGGGATTCAGGAGCTTGCGGGCCATCAGGGATCCATAGGGGTTCACGATTCAGGCTGCAGGGCTTCGGTTTTGGATCTTCGGTTTCGGCTTGGGCATAACGGGCCATAAGACCCTGTCTCAAAGTCCAAAGTCTGCAATCGCCCCGACGATTCTCGTCTCTGGGAGTTCCACTGGTGCAGGTGTCGGAATAAAGCTGAGGGTTGATCATCTGTCGCCTCTGCACACACGAACCAACTAATATTTAGTAATTTAATATGTGGCTCAAGGCTCTGCTCCCAAATGGCGACTTCGTGACGCAGCTTACAAAGAAAACATGCACCAAACAAACCCCATAGATTACGAGTTAGATATACACCCCAAAGAATCAGCCACAAACCACATGAACACCGTACAGCGAACAACAAAAGAACTTCAAATCGAACAACCACTGGTGCGGAGGTGACCATGCCGTGGCCTGGCGAAAGGCTGCCGTCCATTCTTCCTGACCGAAGAATTTCGATGCGACTCTATCTCGGCCCTGCTTTGTTTCCAAGTTCCAAGGCACCGAAAATGCTAAAACCATAAATCGTAAACCATGAACCCTAACCTAAATTTTCCCTACCCAGCTACCAGCCGGTAGCTTGGCAAAAACAAGCTTGGGGGTTTGTCGCTTCGGGTGTCAGCCTTGGATAAAGGTCCTCAGGTCCTTGCATCAGAGCGATACTGAGGCCGTACTCCAGTGGTGGGGGGTGCGACTAGTTCCTCCGGCTGTGGGTGTAGGATTTTGGAGTTCAGGAGTCATCTGTGCTGGAAACTATTTTAGCCCACTCAAGGCGACCAGTCTGGTGCTTTCAGGAATCACGAACTGCCACCAGAAACCCCAAAGCAGACCCTGAACAGAAAGACTTCGAGCCGCAATTGGAGCCCAAAGGGTACGGAGACTCTAAGCCGCAACTTTACTACTAAGCTACCACAACCTCACAACCACAGCTGCCATTAGTCATTAGTCCTCTTCGTCATGCAGACATGCTCGTATTACTCTTCCACCAAAAGCAACATACCCGCCCCTGAAACTTTAGTCTATGAAGAGGACTGCCTCGATTCAGTCTAGATCTGAGTTCCAGGAACCCGGGCCGATTGACACCCTGTGTCCTACGCGACCAAGTCTCAGACGCCGCAAACAGGACACGCCCTAAACCTTAGTTAACCTCAAACGCCTATGTATATACATAAACCCTGAAGCCCTAACCACCAAACCCTTCAACCCTTAAACCTTGCCCCAAAACCCTAAAGCCCGGATCCTAAAAAAAAACTAAACCCACAGCTTTGTGAACTGGCTCACTACTCCCTAAACACCTCAAACTCCAAACCCGACGCCCTCAACCCAAGGCTTTGTGAACTCGCTCTGCCTGCTCGGGCCGCGATGTGCCAGAGCTTGACACTTCTAGGTCGCCTCTGTGAAGCTCTCGTCTAGGAGAGAGCTTAGGGTTTCGGGCTGTAGGGGTTTGGGGGTTTGGTGTCAGTGCCTAAGGATTGGGGATTAGGGGTTTAGGGTTTAGGGCTGTAGGGGTTTCAGGGTCTGTACAGTGTCGGTGTTAAAGGGTTTGGGTCAGGGTTTAGGGGTCTACGGGTTTCGGGGTTGAAGGGCTTAAGGCTCAAAGCTTGCGGGTTGATCCAAAGGTTGGGCTTTAGGGTTTACGGGTTAGGGGTTTAGGGTACTGTATGACCTCTTGAAACCGACTTTTTGCTAGTCACTTGTACCTCCCGTGGCCTTCCAGTCCCCCTAAATAAACCTTACCTACAGTAGCAAGTCTCCATTGTGGTTTAACCAATGTTTCAGATCGTATACGGCCACCCAAAGAAGGACTTGCACCGGAGACTATATAATGGGTGACTCCATACCGGATCTGAGGTCTGTCGTCACAATTGCAGCCCGGCATCCTTACTTATTGAGCTGAGTTTTGCTTGAGCAGGGCCAGGGGGCCAGGTCAAGGGACATTAGACTGTCGACTTCAGCGCAAAGCACTTCGATTTGGGTGCAAACCCTGGGCCCTTGACCCCAGGACCCCACAACAATCATAAAGTTGGCATCGTCGTGAGACTGCGCTGTCCGTAACCAGGGCGTGCCAAGAACACCAATTCGGTATGCAGACTCCGTCAATCCTGATCCTTGAACCCTGAGCAGATTACCCTGAACCGCAAAACCTGTTCGCTGGCCACCGTGCCCCAGCGCCCCCACAGAGCAAGCGGCAATCCAATGCATCAATGCACTGCCAACCCGAAGCTCAAAACAAGCACACACCATGTAGACATCAAGATGAGGCAAGAAACACCAACCCACGCACCCAGCGTTAAACTTCTGGGTCTGCGGCTCTGACGCAGCACTTCTGAGATGTGAGCAAGGTGCTCTTCCGGAGGTGACCTTGGCCAGTCGTCCTTTCTTTAATACTCTTTCGGGTGGTGTCGCCTTCAAAGATCAGAGCTCCTATGTGGCCGTGCACTTCGGCTTGCAAGCTGGTGCATGATTCATCAGGCACCTACTCTAGACCTCAGGGCTTCAGGTTTAGGACTGGTCCCGGTTCGACATTCGTAATATAGGGGCCTTAATAGCCTTAATAATTAGAATAGGGTTTTGGGGCCGAATATACTATACTTATAATAAGGAACCCCCACAATAGTATAGGTAATCATTAAGGCCCCTATAGTATCTCCTCGCTCTGACCCTAAACCCTAAACCCTAACCCCTAAACCCTAACCACCCTAAACCCTGAACCCTAACCACCCTAAAGCCTAAACCCTAACCCCTAAACTCTCTCTGCTTGGGCTTAGGGTCGAAGCAGAGAGCCGATCACTTCGGCTCTGCACTTCAGACTTAGGACCGAGAAGGAGGGTGGTCAGAATTACCAAGACTATGAAAAGGTTTACTACATGGGGTATTATGTGCGTTTAGTATAGGGGCCTTAATATATTGCTCAGATTTTTATGGGGGGTTCATTGTTGTAATTATAGTATAATGGGCCCCCAAAACCCTATTCTAATCCTTAAGGCTAAGGAAATTCCATCTCTCCATGTGCACGAAGAGCCATGCAGCCCTGAATGAGGTACCGTGTTGCTCAAACGAGTCTGGACGACCCTGCAGTGAAAAGATCAAACCCTAAACCCTAAACCCTAAACCCCTCTTTAGCAACAAGGGATGTTGCCAGACTCCGGTCAACATTGCCAGATCCCAACGTAAAGCCTTAAAGCTCAAGGCCTTCAAACTGTGCTGATAGTAACGATAGTGATACTAGGACCAGCGCGAAACGTAGCAAAAAGTATGACAAGCACGATCAACACATGCACGGTAGTAGCAGAAGTCATATGAAAGTAGTCAGTACACTGAATACCGAAGAGTACATCAGACGTAAGAAGCATCAATCAGCTTCAGCGGTCTGAAGATACTCGATCCAAAACTTATCAATATCACCTGCAAGGTGCATTATCCCACATCAGGGTAACTGCAAGAGTTATACTGAAGGGATCCTTGCCGCCAAGCCTTAGGATCATAATGACGAACATGCTAATACTACGACGACGACGACTAATAATAATACCAATAATAATAATAATAATAACAATAATAATAATAATAATTGTACAAATTACAGTGACAATAATAAGCGATAAATAGCGAACGATGACTAGTAGACAAGAAGTAAGAATTACATAACGAAATTCATGACTAGCAACAGAATTAACAACGATGATGATAACAGTAGCAATAACATAAGTATGAATCAGCACAAACATCATAATGATAGTAGCAACAGTGACAATAACAAAAAACAAAGTAACAACAACACTAATGGTAAGAGTAGAAGTAATAAGATTTCTAATTCATGGCTCTGCTGCCAAGAGGCTCCGGGGATCGCTCTGCATGGCGCTCAGGGGACGAGAGCGCCATGGCTGCCGTTCCCAACTAAATCGTTAGGGGCTTCAGCGTTTTCCCGTTTGGGCTCACGACGGTTTCGAAGGCTACACAGCCCTAACTTTAAAAGAAAGGTCTTGGCAAATTCGCCATGATTCGAGCCTGAGATCGCTGTCTTGTTGCTACTTCTGAGGCAGCTGCATGTTGAACGTTGAACATGAAGCCATGCAGCCTGGACTTGACATGCCAGATGGTTGATCTTTTCGACCTCTTCAAGGAACCCCTGCAGACAAAGCTGCTTCCGCTTGAACATCAATGCATGATCTACCAGGCAAGTCTTCCAGCAAGTTCGGCGAGATCTGTGGTAATCTGTAGGGGTGTGGGTCTCAAATCAACCACCACGACGGCGAGGCAAGTGATCCATCTTTCTTGCTCTCAGGGTCGCAGCAAACTGCGACATTGTCACACACATGCCAAGCAATGAACATGGAAACATGCACCGGTGGGCCGAGCCGGACAATGGCGAATCACAATGGCTGGCATCATGTGCTTACGGTCTTCAGCAGCTGAATGTCCCGGACGGACTGAAGGGGTGAGTCCAGTATAATACAGCAAGCAGCTCATGAGGAATGATGGCCCCACTAGGCAGCAGTTACTGCACAATCCGTCTTTGGAACACCCAAAGGACCGAGACTGTAAAATTGTCATCAAACTCAAGGCTTAAGCTTGTTGCTGCGGTTGAGGCTTGCAGAGTCGCAGTTGTCCCGCCTGGCCCCCAGTCAGGTGCGAGGAGCCCGAAAGTGACTGAGCAGGAGTGCGTGGCAGGTGAGGCTCGGTGTGCCAACTTAAAGCGGCCACGCGGAAAAGCTCACAGCCGAGGCCCCCAGCTTGGTGACTTCTAGTTCTAGTGTTTGACGAGCTGCAGGCTTAGAGTTGGGGAACACTGCACAGATAGCTTTCATGTAGTTATATAAGCAAATTTAAACAACAGCTATTCTAGTTGCACCGATACTCATCAACACTGCTGAACCATGTAGCCGGTGATGAACACTCCAACCTCCAATACCGAAAACTCCAGACCAGCAGCACTCTAGCAGCCTTTTTACTGTGCTGTGGGGCAGTGTTTTTCGGGATTTGGATACCTGACTATGCCCGCAAACTCTCAACCCTAAATCCTGTGCCTAGTTTACCAAGGCTTCATGATTTAGTACAGGTAGTTTGTTTATAGACATATGACTACCATACTCCCAATTAGGGTCCATTGCAAGTGGAAGTACTCATAAGTCTACCACTTGCGACGTCCCCCGACCCTCCAACTCTTCCCGGCCAGGGATTGCATTCAAGTCTCGCGGCTGATGAAGTACATAGTTGGTTAGTGCTCGGCGCTTGCGACTTCAGGATTTCATGGTTCGAGTTTGAGGGTTTGGGCTTCAGAGTTTATGCCTTCAGGGTGTGGCGTTGGTTTGAAGCATGTGGGATTCGCTACGAAGCGAGACAACCTCTGGCATCAAACATACAGGTGTGCAAGCGAGAGGGCTCTCAGCCCTAACCTTACAGCCAAAAATTCAAAATATTGAATCCCGTACCACCCAAGCCCTATCCCGAAACTTAGACAAAGCATATATCCTGAACCACATAGAGCCCTAAAGTCTCAACCTGGCCAGAGATGAGATTAATTAAGCCAGTCGCTCCTGTGGCAAGAAGATCTCTCCCAAACCGGTACATGAGCGCAGACAACCACAGACCGTATGTAATATGAGCCACTAGGGAGTTTAGAGCTTCGGGTTTGTGAGTTACAGCAAAAGCGCGGACGCCATCCATGCTGGGGTCTCTTCTGCAAAATTCTGAGGCTGGTAGCCAGTTCTTGAGCACAAACTCCAAAGTCTGTGGCCCAATACAGCTACGCAGCCAAAGCCGCATTCGACTATTATCTCGACTTGAGAATGGCCCCAAGACGCACACAAACATCATGTATATCCAAGTTTATATCTATACTTAAATCTCTGTATATACACCGACATACACATACGCATGCACATGCGCATATATGTCTCTATGTGTACGTGTGTATGTATGTGTGTATATATATATACACCAGACACACGCACACATACACATGCACACATACAGACCTACACATTATGCACAGATACACACACACACATATATATGTAAAGATGTGTAAAGAAAAAGATGGCGGCTGCCCAACACAATTGTCAGGAGGTTTAGTACACATAAACACAGACAGACAGACAGACCGACAGACCGACAGACAGACAGAAACATTGTATTAACATGAAAAGTCTAATGGCATAACTAAGTTACACAGATATGTGGGTACACATATGCACATGCCCTCCATCCACACATACATAGTGGCATATGTACAGATGTACAAACATGTACAAACAAGCGTACTACCTACCTATGTGCGTGCGCACAAAAACGTACATAAATGCAGACATACCCTGAATATGTACAAGCATACGTGCCCACATAATTATATAGGTACATACATACATACATACATAAATTCATACATATATTCGTTCTTGGATCCATGCATTCATAGGATCATGCAGTCATGCATATAATGGACGTACGTACGTACGGACAGACGTACATACATATTAATGCAGATACATACATACATGCATACATGCATGAACACATACACACGGACATACGTAGGCACATGTATACATGCATGCATACACACATGCATGTATACAAGCAACAACACATTTGCGCATGCATCATACATCCAGACATGCAAAGATAACAACATGCTGCGTTCATTATTTCATGCATTACTTCAAGCGTTCATGCATTCATTCTTTTCATTATTCTATCCTCAACTACACTCAGACATACATTCAGACGTACATGCCAACATACAAACATACATAAATACATACGCCGGCACATGCATACATACAAGCATACATACCTAATTTTTGCGTACGTACGTACGGACATACAGGTGCTCATACATACGTACATGCATACGTACATACATATCTGTTTTCCAAACATACATGTATCTGTATATAAACACCTGCAGAGATACATACCTGATTTATGTGTTTACCTGCTTTTACTTGTACATATGCACATGCACACACACACACACACACACAGGCACACCCTGCATTCATACATGCATGCATACATACATACATACACGCATACGCTAGTGTGTACGTATCTACCTACCTACCTGCCTGCCTGCCTACCTACCAGCCTGCATGTATACACACTTACATACACATCGCACAGGGTTACATACAGACAAGTTACCTTCAAGTGACCCTGTGGTTTGGACACCATATGTGCGCAACCTTATTATGTCTGTCTCTGTCGGTCCGTCGGCGTGCCTGTCTGTCTGTCAGTCTGTCTATCGGCACGTCTGCATATGTGTATGTGCGCTGAGTCAGACTTAATTGCCTTGAAAACCGCATCAACAAAGCCAGAGGAAGCTGAGCCAAAACAAGCCCAAACATGAGAAGCAAGCGACGACATTCAAAGTCAGAACACTGGACACCCTCCTCTCCCAGAAACCCCTGTCTAGAACAACCCCTGTCGAACGGAAACCCTTATCTAATTAAGCAGTCTTGAAGAACCTTGTCTTGCCAGTAGTCTTGGCTTGTATTGAAGAGGGGTTGACCCGACGAAGCAGGGTCACTTAGAGTAAAGGTAGCGTACCACACATGTATGTGCGTGAGACCACACTGAAACCAAATAACCTCCAGCCAAAGTCAACGTCTCTGGGGCCTGCTCGTGGTGCGTGGAACCTCGCATTACATGGTCGTCGAGATCGGAGGAAGATCCCAACGGATAAGCTACCCTTTTCAAACCTTACTGATGAATAAACAACCATACCGCTTCCTGCAGTTTCTTGCTAGAAGATTTCGTGCATGGGCTCTTCCTTCTGCAATTTGCCATCTCGGCTCAGCGCGGAACCCTAAACCCTTTAAACCGCTCAGCGCGGATCGGGTGCAGTGGCCAAGCACCCAGCGGCCGTCAGCACCCAGCCTACCTGCACGGTTCAGGGTTTAGGCTTAAGGGTTTACGGTTTAGGTGGCGATCAGGTCCAAGCAATACATAGATACTTACATGACGTGATATGACATGATCTGGTCTAATGTAACCGAGTTTAGTTTGCTATGGTATGTTATAACACATGACTGAAGAATAGACTTGTCACATGGTACGCGTCATCACATATTCAAGCAGTATATAAACATATGAAATAAAAGGCTGTAGCATAAAAAACACTACATAGCATTTTCTACAGCCATGCAAGCTTGTACAGTTTTCTTATAGTGAAACGAACCTTTATTGAAAAAGAGTTACATTGTATCATTATATCACTATATATTGAAAATATTCAAGAAGGCAATGTACTTTACTCTACGATAATGTGTATATGAATATATGTTTTTATATACACACACATACGTGTAGAAATACAACATCATGGAACAATATATTACAAGACAAGCTAGTTTAAGGTACAAAAATATCATAATCAAGTGCATATGTACATGAATATGTCTATGCATATATATATATATATATAGAGAGAGAGAGAGAGAGAGAGAGACATATGTATTTGTGTACGGATAGCGGCTTTATGTAAGCTTTTCAAAAACGTGATGTGCCAAAAAGACCAATAACTCAATAACCGACTGCTGAGGCAGCTGGGCTCATATCACAAGAATGAGGAGTCTGAAGTGGGGTTTCTGTGAATTCGATGGTTTGCCGCCCTTACAAAGGGCCTCAGTCGAGCGTAACTTAAAACCCATATGTCATAAGATTACTATCAAGTCCAAAACTGCTGCAACCAATCGTCATACGATCAACACATCAAGCATGGCGGTCGTGTTGGTGGCGGTAAATTGTCGGAGAAGTCGTAGGATTGGCGAACAGAAACTGCTGCCTACAGAAACATGATAAGAATCTTGTAATGCCTGCTTTGACAGGGCCAACTTGCCCTACACGGGTACTCCGCGCTCGATTCTCGGGTGATCCTT